TCGCGCTGTGATGATGTCAAATGCGCGCTTTCGTTGATCGCGCTTTTGTGGACCGCGGTTTTGACCGGTCACGGGCCTGGCTATCCTCCTTCTAGGACAGAAGTGTCAAACTCGATTTCATTGAGGGCCACATCGGGGTTGTGTTTGAGCTCGGGGGGGGGGGCAGGGGGAGCATGGCCGGGGTGGACGTGGCCAGCTCAACATCATTGTGCCCATTGAGAACTGCCAAAATGTTAAAAAGATGGAAAGCAAAACATGGAATTCAAAGCTATTTTTTTCTTAAGCTTTAATTTTGTAAACCATTATTATGGTTATGTTGTTGTTAGTTGCGAAGTTGTGTCTGACCCATTGTGACCCCATGGACAACGTTCCTCCAGGCTTTCCTGTCCTCTACCATCTCTGGAGTTCATTTAAGCTCACACCAACTTCTTCAGTGAATCCATCCAGCCACTTCATTCTCTGTCATCCCCTTCTTCTTTTGCCCTCCATCTTTCTCAGCATTAGGCTCTTCTCCAGTGAATCCTTCCTTCTCATCAGGCGGCCAAAGTATTGGAGTTCATCTTCAAGATCTGGCCTTCTAAAGAGCAGTCAGGGTTGATCTCCTCTTAAGTCTGATTGTTTTGGTCACTTTGCAGTCGAAGGGACTCGCAAGAGTCTTCTCCAGCACCATAGTTCAAAGCCCTCAATTCTTTGACGCTCAGCCTTTCTTATGGTCCAACTTTAGCAGCCATACATTTTAAATGGAAAAACCATAGCCTTTACTGTACACACTTTTGTTGGTTATATCCCATATTTATTATGATATGGCTAAAATAACCTAGGCATGTCCAACCTGTGGACCATATGCAACTGGAGAGCTGGTAATGTGGTTTCATATTAAAAATAAAAAATAAAGGAAGTTTGTTATCTATATACAGTAACTACTATATATTTTATATGCAGTCCAAGACAATTCTTGTTACCTCAGTGTGGCCCAGGCAAGTCAAAAGATTGGATAATCATGAACTAACCTATTCATGTGATGCTATGTCTTATCATAGACCATCCTGTTATAATTCTTTGTAGGACTAATCACAATTCTATTTTGAAAATGGAAGCCTGCTGCTATCCTGTGGTGGTGTTTACAATTAATTTAAGTTTTCCAGAAGAACAAATAAATTATCTTACAGATGCAACTTATTTTCAAATCATGGCATCACATAAGTATGGAAAAATGAATAACTCAAGAATAGACTGAGAGGCATTTAATATCATGCCTCTTTTTTAATATCAGAAAGCATTCTGCAGTGTAACTCTATATGATCTAATTTGCCTGAAGAAAATAAGAATTAAAAAAACAGTAAGTTTCTTGCCAGTTTCTCATTTGACTTCTATACAGCATCTGGATTTACAATTGAAAGAACTCAAAGTAATTTTAAAAATTGTTCAAAGAAATGTTAAGACAACAAGTGCTGTATTTAAAGACTATTCAGCAAATAAAAAGAAGAGATTGATTACAAAGCTGCTTGCATTCTTCTTCTTAGATAAGCTGTGGGAGGCTATTAGAACACATTCAACTCTTACCTATTGTAGAATTCAGTAAAATTGATGTTACACAATGAGGTTGAAACATCAGAGTTGGTTCTTTTTCTCTATTAAAATTTTTGCATAGAAGTAAACTAATGGGTAAAGTGCTTATCTATCTAAGGCTTTGTAAGGATCTTTCCCCTCCATACTGACTAATATGCATGTTTGTTTATAGCATATGATATTAAGGCTGTTTTGAGAAATCCATGGTGAGGGTTACAATGGTTAGGTGATTATATGATATTATACCGTGCAATAAAACTCCCTTCAATGAGTAACCTTCAGGAAATTCATATGCAGGATGTGAGAAGAATTATATCTTCTACTTGGTTGTAGTACTGAAATCTCTAGTCCTCTTGATACATAATCTCTATGTGTGGTGGGTATGATGTAGTCCTTCTCAATAAATATATTCAGCTTGTAACTATCACTGCCTAACAGCTCTTGAATTCATTATGTGAAATGTAAGTGGATGTTTCCCTTTCAGATAAGCCCATATGTTCACCATCTGCAATGCAATATAAACATTTTTATTCATCATTTTATGTATAAAATTTCTACATTTTCCTTTATTCAAAATTTCAAAGCAAAGGTTTCTTGAGCCGCTTGAATGAGTTATACATAGATACTGAAATAACTACAGCTATCGGAGATTACCTTGAAAGCTATACAGTTGCTATAAATGAAACTGACCTGAAAAGAAAATATCTGGATTATAATTGTGTTGTAGAAATATATTGGAAACCACGATATTTAGTATAGATATAGTATAGTAATGCTGTAAATAAATAAGAAAGAGATGCTTACTCCAGGGAAACAATCATATCTGCTTCAGCATTGTTAATTTTTTAAAATTAAAAATAGTAGATCAAATCCTGTGACATTGGGCAACTGAGTTTTATTTTAAAAAGTTTTTCTTTGCATGCAGCCAATGTAGTGTTAGAGAACGTGTCATCTGGCAAACCATTATCTCTGGAGCATATTATTAGCATTTGAGCTAAAGAGTAACTTTAATTTTCTTTTCTTCTTTTCACTTCATTAACCTTTCTTCCCATTACATTCTTAATTCCTTTATAGTAAAGGTTTCTTTTAGTTGCTATATGTTGTTCTTAAGAGCTAAAACTTAATGAAAGTAAAAGTGTCTTATTCTTTCATTGTCATTCAATGGATTTTTAAAATGTCTATTTTAAGCCAACTTTAGGGAGTAAGAATCTTTATTTATTTATTTAGTTTTTCAAACATGTACGAGATAACATGTATAAGTATAAACATGGACATGAACACAGGAAATTGGTACGAATAAATGGGGGCAGTAGGACAAGGAGGGTAGGCACGCTGGTGCACATATGCATGTCCTCTTACAGACCTCTTAGGAATGGGGTGAGGTCCATGGAAGACAGTTTAAGGTTAAAGTTATGGGGGTTTGAGGATGTAACAACGGAGTCAGGTAGAGAATTCCAGGCATTGACCATTCTGTTGCTGAAGTCGTATTTTCTGCAATCGAGTTTGGAGCAGTTTACCTTGAGTTTGTATCTATTGTTTGCCCGAGTATTATTGCGGCTGAAGCTGAATCTTGAAGGTATTTACCCCTTCTTAAAGAGTATATCTCAATAAATGTGTTGGTTTAAGTGCCCTACAATTTGCTATTTTACAAACTACTAGATTATATGCTATGTGTAAACAGAGAAACCCACCCTGTTACAATATTACATCATAATATTATGCTACTACTTCATTCCGAAGGGTGTGGTGACTCAGCAGTTAAGGATACTGAGTTGTCAGCTGGAAAGCTAATAGCCTGGGTTCAAGACCAAAGTGCTGTGCAATGGGTGAACTCCTGTTACTTGCCCCAGCTCCTGCCTACCTAGCGGTTCAAAAGCATGCAAATGCGAGTAGATAAATAGATACCATATTGGTGGAAAAGTAACAGTGTTGCATACTTCTCAGTGTATAGCCATGTTGGCCACATGACCCTGGAAATACCTTCGGACAACACTGGCACAAATACATTCTAAGCATTTTTTAAATATATGTCTTTATAATTGTAGCATCAAATGGCACAATCCTATTTTTTTAAAGCAAAAGATGGTTTGATTTTTAAATGTTTAGGATTTAGAAATTAATGAAGATCCAGTTAATTATCCTAATATTTTAGTCTTCTTACTAAGATGGCTTTTAGATGTGATTTTCCCTGGGAGATTGCTGAATGAGAAATGTTGTAATCCAATAGATTTGAAAGCCAGTAGGCTGAGAAAGAGTATAGTAATAATGTAGAGCTATGAACTGGTCAAAGATTCAGATGCTTAAGAAAGAAATGAATTAGAAACCAATAGGAGGAATAAGATATTTAATAATAAGATATTTAGTTACTCTCAGCCTAACTGAACTTCACAAGGTTGTTGTTAGGAAGAGAAAGGAGTATTGAGTATGTTCATCACTTTGAGTTAAAAATAATAAAGGGGAAAATAAAAATATTATTCACCTTTGTTCCAAATGCAACACCCTTGTGGGAAAATAATCCATTCATGACTTTTTCTCTCTCTTATATTTACAGGATAAATTAACCCAGGAGTGTTTTTTCAGAGAGCAGTTTGAAGAGAATTGGTATAACACATACTCATCAAACCTATATAAGCATGTGGACACTGGAAGACGATATTATGTCGCATTAAATAGAGATGGAACTCCCAGAGAAGGGACCAGGACTAAACGGCATCAGAAATTCACGCATTTTTTACCTAGGCCAGTGGACCCTGAGAAAGTCCCTGAACTATATAAGGATATTTTAAGCCAAAGTTGACAAAGACATTTCCTTCACTTGAGCCCTTATAAACCAACAACCACTATAAAGGTTTCATGCGGTGGGTTCTTAATTGATTAGCTGTGTCATCACATCAGCTCCACTGTTGCCAAACTATGTCGCATGCATAATATATGATGGAGGCTTGGATGAAACTTGCTGATGGTGTTCTGCACTTAAAAGGTTTGTCTTCTGGAAGAGAGCCTATGCCCATCGCTTGATTTATTGAGTGAGAAAGAAAGAAAGAGTGAGAATGTTTGAGAGTGAAAGCAGAAGCTGAAGAACGAAGGAAGGTGGGAAAGGCCTGATGCATGCTGGGAAATAGACACGCTTTTAATTTTTTTGGTCTGTTGTATACTTCATCCTAGATCAGCATAGCTGCCATACTTTGACTCATGAAGAATTTTGGCTGGTGGCCTGCTCAAGTGTACGCTGCATTTTTTTTTTAAAAGCAAAGGCATGGAGGGTATGGTCTGTCTAAAATCCACACAGGAAAAAAAAGACTTATTTTCAGTTTGACTGCTCAGTTGAGAGTCACCCCCTAATGAATTTCAAGACCTCTTAGTAATACAGGAATTTTTTTTAAAAAAAGTTAAATTTATTTATAGAAATCCAAAGGCAACATTTTATTTATTTTATATATTTATTTATTATATAGAGTTTATTTTTAATGACATCTGTACAGGCCAGATAGGTAGATTGGAAGCTATAGTATAGGCTCTGGAAAACATTTCAACAGCAAACAGCTACGACCGTGTGATTACATTCATACAAGTCAAACATAAAGATGCATGGAGGCAAAGAGGAATCTAGGGATCCTAATGTACTAAAGGCAACAATATTTTTTGTGCCCATATTATTGTAAAATTATGCACACCACTCATGACTCTTGAGTGCTTACTCTTCTGACTGCTTGTTTCATAGCTTAAAATCTCCCCCTTTCCTCTCCCTCTCTTACTGAGGATTAAAGATAAAACTGGGTCTTCAAAACTTTAATTCTGTGTCTGTAGTATTTCCTCTTTGATAAGTAACTTATCAAACTTAAATCTACAAACTTCCCAATTGTGGAATATAAAACACAAGAAAAGAAGGGTTGCTATATGATATATTCTACTTGTTAAACCTACTGCAGATAATACCAAAGCTACATCATAAATATGTATGGGTTTTTTTTTAAAAAAAAGCTTAAGCAGAATATCAGAAACATTCTAATGTCTATTAGGATATTTTTGTACCAATTAAGTTTCTCTCACACAAGTAGTAACAAAGGCCAGAGACACGGCTCTCACTCTTGTAAACTTGTTTAATTGTGCACTTGATTATCTACTCTGAAATTACACAAGTTCCATGGGGGTTATTATCTTTCATGGGAAAAATGCTTTCATTGTGGTCTATCATAATACGTATAGGACTCTTGCAGATGACAAGAGTACATTTCTATTGAGAATTACAATGTGGGTGAAAGTACTATACTTAAATTATGTTTCAAATGTTCTTAAAGCATATTGTGCTGGCTGCACTGCATAATGTGTATCAGTGAGGATTGTGTAACATAATGAGTGCAAGCATACCTTTTGTTAGTAGCTATAATTTGGGCTTACCCATAGAGGAGAGGCTTTGTCATAAAGCCCTAAGATCAACAGAGGCCGCAGAAACCTTGACAATGACTGCAGTTCATGCACTTACATGTACATACCATTTTTGGCAGAGGAAATGTAGAGAGTTTAGACTACAGTAATACAGTCAGCTCAACATGATTCTGGTTATAGCCTGGATTCTATGTAAAATGGAGTGCTCTTTTGTTCTCTGTAGCAGGATTTGCACATAACACCATCCCATGCAATAAAGATTAGTAAATAACACACAGAATGTATAATATGCAGAAAGGCCCCAAGAAGTAAAAAAAAATGTCTTATTTGGGGACAGCAAACCTCAGTCTAAAATTAATATTGTTGCTGAGTTACAAGAAGACCTGGCCTGTGTTCATTATACTTTGTCATATACCAGAATCTTACTTTTTTTTTTTGAGTCTTTTTTTTTTGCAATCAAACCAGGAGTTGGGAAACAAATCATTATTATATACTTTTCAGCTGCAAAACTGATTGATATTTAATGAAACATGGTCAAAAATTATGGAGTAGAATTAGATGCAAAAGTAGTATACATAAGAAATGTGTGCTTTGCATTATAGCCAAGCCTAAAGAAATTGTAAGAGAATATTAGCATATGCATTGATTGTGCTGCAATGCAAAAACAATTTCCTAGAAAGTAAAGAGTTGTTCATTATGAACTCAAAATTCATCTCAACCAGGACAATCCTTCTACTGGAAGCTGCTAGGAGCCCTTGTAGTGCAGTGGTTTGAATGCAATATTGCAGGCTAACTCTGACCACAGTCTAGAGTTCAATCCTGCTGGGGCTCAAGGTTGACTCAGCCTTCCATGCTTCCGAGGTTGGTAAAACGAGGATCCAGATTGTTGGATGCAATATGCTGAGATTGTAAACTGCTCAGAGAGTGCTGTAAAGCACTGTAAAGCAGTATATAAGTGTAAGTGCTATTTCTATGGCTATTGAAGCAATCTCAGAACCATATATTTATACCTTGACTTTCCACAAGAAGGTCTTCTCAAACAACAAGCAGTTTCAGGTCTGAAGTAGCAATCAATTGGGAATTGGGAATCCTGATGTATGTGCTTACGAATATACTGAAAAAATGGTTAATATATTCAAGGTGAATTAAATATACTTTTAATTGGTTATATGGTTGCCCTTTGGGAAAAAAAGATGACAAGAAAATGCAGTGAATTCATACAATCAGTTTTAGGTCAGAACAATTTCTTATTTTCTACTTGTTCTGCTGATGCATTAAACCATCTCTACCCTTGGAGTCAGTGAGTTAAACATCTTCCTGCCATTTCTAAAATAATCAATGGCACAAGGCTGAAGTTATGAAGACACAGACATTACATACTATGGGAGATGGAAAACAAATATGGGACTATTATTTTAGGAATAAGCTTGTGACAAATGTATCCGTAGTGTTAGCTAATCTACAACACCTAGTCTTGGGTAATTTCTAGCTGTGATACGATGCAGCTATTCATGTAGTTTGTTGGAGAGCTGTCCCATATAATTATCAGCTTGTGAACGCCATAAGCAGCACCCACAAGGGCGAAGGTCATCAAATAATCAAGATGAGGTCATGACAGCACAGTAGAAACTCTGCTCCTTCATGTATATCTGAATTTGCACGTGTCTCTTGTAATGCCTTGATGCCATCTTGCCTTTTTTTGAAACTGCCTCCACCCTTTCCTAAGACATTGCTGAATGTCATAATATGTACATTAGTCATTGTGCTGGTTTAGCACAAAAATGTTCATTGTATTAGGATCAATGAGAGCTCTCCATGACATCAACATGAAAAAGATATTATCAATCTATTTTCAGTTCATATTATAACCAAATGTAAGACTTTCTGAATTCAGTCTGAATTGCTAAGAAAATTAGACTAGGATCAATCCTTTCAAACTGACACCAAGATTGACTCCAAGAAACACCAAACATAATTACAGAACAATTAAACCTATAAACAATATAGCTCGAGTGGTATCTTGAATACGGAACCCTTTGAAATCTAGCAAGACTTATTCTTTAATAAGTACGACCAGGATTGAACAATTAATTTTGTTCAGAGCCAATTATTTAAGAGGTTTATTCTATTTTGTAATAACTTTTTTTATCACCCCTTGTCAGTTATCTTTTTAAATCCTTGCTTCACATTGAAATAATGAATCAGTTGCATCTTTATCTATAAAGTAGGCACATGCAATGCAGTATTAAGTAACAAGATTAAAGCTCACTCACAGCGCATGAGCAAATCCATCTACAGCTTTATAAAATTGGCTGCCAGAGACTGCAGACATAGGTGGAAAATCAAGCACCTGATAAGCCTTAATGCTGGTCTGTATTCAACTTGATGGTTCACAAGTTGTACAGACCTCTTGTTTTAATGGTCAGACCACTTTCACTGGAAAAATGATAAAAGAGTTTTTAAGATGACTTTAAATATAAATTACTTTTCAACGGTATCCTTAAAATTTGGACGATAAATTGATCATCTTACAAGGAAGTGGGATAAAGGACAGCATGTTCAACATCTAGTAGCAGAAAGATGTACACATGTATATCTATATGGATAAAAGTATGTATATGTATATCTATCTATATGTATGATAGATATAAGTATGTGTGTATGTATGTATGTCTACCTACCTGTGTAGTTGCATAAAGATGGATTCAAGGAGCAATAAGCATCCAGATTTGCACTATGTCCACAAAAATATTAAGGACACCCATAAGCAAAGGTCAGCTTTGCCACAACTGACCAGAATAAATAAGTCCATATTTTTAGCCTTAATGTTGAATTTGCTGGGGGGGGGAGGGGTTGATCACAGACAGATCATTAATATTACTTAATGTGTTTTAATTTATTTTTTTGTATTTTTTAAAGAAAGGACTAAAAATAAGCAAGAAAAAAATGTTATGACTTTGTGGCAGTTGATACAATAAACTATAACCAATATATTCAAATAACCCATAGTGTTGTGTTGGATATTTGAATATTTAGAGATACGGAATTATCATAGATACTTTCTTGGACATGGATATTTCGACTCATAGAAGCAGACTTCAGAGCTTTGTGTACCATATGGAAAACAAATAAAACCAATGGCTAACAATTTCTACTCAACAAAACACTGTTTTTCACGTATCACTCTTATCCATTCATTCCTCTGAGCAGAATACAATAATTCCAAAATAGGGCTTAAGATAAAATTTTATTTTTCTCCCCATAAGGCATCAGCAATTAAATACTATATCAAGGGTTACACCCTTTACTGACCCTTGATGTATAGGTATTTGTTTTTATATTAATTGTGTGGCCTTACAGATGATGCTTTATTCCAAAAAGGGCTTGAGGAGGCTACATATAGCACTTCTGCATTTGAAAAGGGCAAAGAAAGTGAAACCCTATTAGAGAGGGTTCTCCAATATAGCAGAAAAATAAATAAAAATGGTGTGATTTTTTGGGGGGGGGGTCTAAAGTTAGTGTTGGCTCCTTTTTACTGCCCATCAAACTCCAAAAACAAAGAGATGATGAGGTTTTTCTAAGCAGTTTCTTTTATGGTTCTTTGCCTATAGACTATTTCCGCCATTACACACATACTCTGAGAACTGCTAGGGATGAGTGGTTTTAACTCTTCATCTTTTGCTCCTCTGGAATCCTCTCCTTTCGCCCCGGAAGTCTGGACTACATTCCATCACAACTGCTCAGAGTAGGCCGCAGCAATTTTTTTTTGCTAAATTTCAGAAGTAGTTTGCCATAGTCTCCTTCCTAGGGCTGGAAGTTCATCCTACTGTCTTTCTGCCTAAGTCAGGAATAGAACTCACAGTCTCCTGTCCCAAAGGTGCTTTTTCAAAAGGCAACTGGATTTTCTTTGTTTTTCCTTGAAGACCTTTCACTTCTCATCCAATAAATTTCTTTTCTGACTAAATGGTGGAGAATGGAAGGATTTATATTCCTTGCAGTTGGGCTTTTGAAAAAGCACTGTTGCGACAACCATGATTCGAGTGACTGAGAATCTCCTAAGACATCAGTCTCCTTGTTTCTAGCCAGGGATATATTGTGTATAAAGAGGAAACTTTAGCCACACCACCACAGTCAGTATCTTGATGATTTTACTATAACCTTCTGATTTTAGAGAAACATTTGTAATATGAAGAAACCTTTATTGTTGATATTTAGTTCTATATACAAGTAAACACATAACACGGGGCCTTTTTAATAATCCACACAGACAAAAATGCTAAACCCATTAATGTTACCTGATTACATGAACCTATGAAGACAAAAAGGATTTGCACTTTATTTAAAAGATTTATTGTTGGGATTTACAGTTGGCCATCAGTACTCTCAGAATTGCCTGTCAATGGGTCA